GCCCGGCTATTCCCCTACTTTCTTAATAAACTTTTTACTCTATAGACTTGCCCTAAATTCTTTCTTGTGCGAGATCCAAGAACCCTCTCCTGAGGTCTGGGTCGGGACCCCTTTCCTGTAACAACATGGTCCCACCCCAGCTCCCTGTCTGATGTCACCTCGCTGTGTTCCAGCCTGACTCTTCTCCCCCAAACACACCAAGCACACTCCTGCCCCAGGACCTTTGCACTGGCTCTTCTGCTTTCAACAGTCTTCTCCCCACAACCACGTGGCTCATTACCTTCTTTTCTTTGCCAAAAGAACTGCCCCACCAAAGAGGCCTTTCCTAAGAACTTTATGTAAAACAACACCTCTTCCCTTCATGCTTTGTCTGTAATGTGCTTTCCTTTTCTTCATAGCACTAATCACCACCTGACATCATTTATTTTTATTTATTCACTTATCTTCTGTCTCCTTCACTAGAATCTGAGTTCCATGGGGGCAGGGATTCTTGTCCACGTTATTTACTACCCTACCTCTGGTGCTGGCCCATAGTAGGTGGTCAACCGGTATTTATGGGATGGGTGACTCAAACTTTTCTGTGAATAAACAGTCCAGTGTTCCTCATCAATCCATCCTGCTGCCCACCAGGCTAGTAATATCATAGTAACAATGGTAGCTAATTTTTCAGGAGCATTTCCTATGGACCATCCTTAGAAACGTTATCTCCTTACACAGGGCACTGCGTTCAATCCTGGAACCCTGAAATTTAGGTATAATCATGAGCTCAGAGGTTAGGCGACTCGCCCGAGACCACAAGAGACGGCATCAGAAGAGGAACACAGACATTTAGCCTGACGGCAGAACTGTGTTCTAAAACCTCAAAATCGTAATTTGCCACACGCTGGAGAAAGAAAACAGTCGAAATGGAAGCCACCTGGCGAGCGCAGGGCCCCAGGTGGGAGCGCTGCTTCCCACGTATGGGAGTCCGGCCCTATCGCTCTTTGATCTTTGCAGCGTCCGTGGCCCCACCGACCCCGTCGTGAGTTATGGGAGCCACGGGACCCATAACCCGGCATTCCCGGACTCCCAGGGTCGTCAGGACACGGCGCCCCGCGCGGTGATGGATGAGCCGGCCCCAGCGCTGGCTTTGTCCGGGTTGGGCCGGTCTGAGAAGCTTCAGGCCGGCTTTGGACGGGGCGTGGCGACAGCCGGGCCGCGTGTGTGTGTGTGTGTGTGTGTGTGTGTGTGTGTGTGTTGGGGCCGTTGTCTTTCTTCCTTCCCTATCGGGAAAGGGGGCACGGGTGCGCCGTCGGCGCCCCAGGTGAGCTGGCAGCACTTTGAACACCCTTTGTACCCCCACATCCAGGAGCGACCTCTCGGAGAACCCCGCCCGCCCACTCTGCGCACTTTCTGCGGCTACAAAGGCCCCGCCGTTCCCCGTCCCGCCTCCCCAGCCCTGGGCATTTCTTCCGTCCCTTTTGACAGTCTAGGCGGAATAATCCTTTTGCGGACCCGGGCCCCTGCCCAGCCAGACGCGGCCGCAGCTGAGCGCGCAGCCTCGCTCCATTGTTGGGGTCCACCGAG